ATTCTTTGGCTAGGCGATAAAAGGAGCACCTATGTGATTGTTACTACCAGGTCATCCGAGTTAGTACCTCAGACTGGGTGAAGCCGAAAGCTAGCAATCTTAAAGGATCACATTGGTCGGCAACGACAGAAGTGAAAATTTTGGTTCATTAATACCATAGAATTCGGGAACTTTCCCTGAACTAAATCCTCAATATTTTCCTCCCACATTGATCGGAGGTGAGGTTTTATGATAAGCATGACGACCCAAAGAAAGGAACCGATAGCGGGACTATTTTCCTTGGAAGTAATATAACATATCTCTACACGTACCATTGTTTGTAAAACCGTATGGCCGGATTGCCTTGTTTTGTACAATACAGATTCGAGCATTAATGATGTACAATACGGATTACCTTGTTTTGCGCGTCCCTTTATAAAGTAGGAAAACATTCCTCGGCTACTGGTCGAAGAGGTTGAAGCCGATGGTCAGTCAACAAAGTTTTGTACAATACGGATTCGAGCATTAATGATGTAGAGTACTTGGATACATAGAATCATTACACATAATCTGTGATTTTACTATGGATATCGATCCTTAATTTGACCACCTGTGCCCACATTAAGACTCGGGGGCTGCTGGGCTTCGCGCTCATTATTTATAAATATTAAAGGGGCACATCAATCCCCTGATCTGGTGTTGCCACCCGGCCAGTGTCTCGGGGGCTACTGCGTTGCCTGTTCAATGCAGAAAATTCAAAGCGCTTAGTGTTCGGCTTGACCGAACTATGGGCAAACGCGTCTTTGAACAACAATAGGTACCATCTGGACCTATCTGGCGTCAAGCTAATATATTGCGGCAACCTCTCAAGACCCTCTCTCAAGGGGCCGTTCACCGATCACTATTATCTCTAATATATTACACTGTGTTTCTATTCCTATGTATGGTGCCGAGCTAGGAGTTGATCCTCAGGCTGATTTCGAGCATCGACCTGAGTCTCAGGGGCTACTAGGAATAGCGGTTTCATGTTTTCCTTCAGATGCATCTCGGGTTTTAGACCGAGACACACCTTGAGGGCTACTGGATATACATATACTGGCTATATATCTCGATAGAAAATAAATTGCACCAGTAAAAAATATTCACAAAAAATTAGCCTGCGGTTGGGGTGGTGCACCACCTCGGAATAAGTCCGGCATAAAGCTCGGGCGCCAGTGGATAGCTCCATAGAGGGCATTTCCGGCATTAAGCCCGGCTAAACTCCTTTAACTTTTTTGAACCAAGATGATCTATGACATCTCAGATATAGTCCGGCATTGGAGCTCGGATACAATCCTGCGTTGGAGCTTGGACAGAGTCCGGCATTGGAGCTCGGATACATTCCGGTGTTGGAGCTCGGAAGCAGTCCGATGTTGGTGCTTGGCTGCAAAAGATATCTCGAATGTACTCCGGCGTTGGGGCTCGGATGCAAGAGGACACCGCCGCACGGGAACAACTTCAAACGCGAGGTGTGGCAAAAAAAATAACAAGGCATTGACAAAGGCCGAGAACTTAAAGGGGCTCCTCGGATACCCGACGTGTAAACTCTTCGGATTCACCTCGGTGATCCTCAAGATCGAAGAGAAGATTTGTTGAACCAGTTTTCAAGATCAACGACTGAAGATGAAGAACAGTTCGGAAGAATCGAGGAGTGTCCCCAACTTTAAGACCGGTTCAGGGGGCTACTGACGGTGTCCTGGACCAGGGGGTACTCACCACGTCGTCTCCCGATCAGTTGGATTGGGCCGAGGACCCCCATGGCCGTTTACTCATGGGCCAGTTTGGACAGCCGAAGTATACACAAGGAAGATTCCAGAAGACTTGGTGATCAAGACGAGGACTCCTCTCCACCGGCGTATTCGACTAGGACTCTTGTTATCCTAGGCCTCTGGTACATTATATAAGCCAAGTCCAGGCTAGTTGATAGATCATTATGACAATCATACAAGCTAGACTTCTAGGGTTTTAGCCATTATGATCTCGTGGTAGATCAACTCTTGTAATACTCATATTCATCAAGATCAATCAAGCAGGAAGTAGGGTATTACCTCCATAGAGAGGGTCCCCTGTCTCCTATTACCATCGACCTTAGATGCACAGTTTGGGACCCCTACTCGAGATCCGCCGGTTTTGACACTAACAGTGCTCCTCAACTAGGACGCCTGCCGGGTATGAGGCCGCCGCAGCCACCTGCCACCAATCCATCTTTGGAGCTGTACTACTGCATCGACCTTGCCAGGTCTAGCTGCCACCGACGCCACCATGACTCCAAACAGCGTCGACCTCCTGCGCGTGTCCATCACCACACATCTGATGCCAAGCCTCTGCTGCTCCATTCCGCCAAGAGCCGCCGCCATGAATATGTAGAAAGAAACACCGCTCCACCGAAGAAGCCATCCGCTAGTCCCTCGAGCCCGAGTGCATCTCCAAGAATGCCGCCCCCAAAGGGCTAACAACACATGAATGCCGTCGTCATCCGATCTACTGATCTAGGGTTTCCCCCGGAGGTATTGGGTGGGTTTGGGATTTGTACCTCGATGATGCCTTCATGAAGGAAATGATGATAAGGGCATCATCATCACCGGCTCCGGCCAACGACCGAAGACCAAGTTTTCACTCGGATCCGTCCCAAGACATCCACCCGACAACATGTGCACTGTCTCGACCGCCTTCAAAGCCCCAGATCTAGCCGCCTAGATCCAGCGACCAACCGCAACAGCAGTGCCACCGTAGGAGCCCTGGCACACCGACCACTGCCTGAATGCGCCACCACTGGAGCCTGGGAGGAGGACTCCCACTCCACCTCGCCAAACCGCGAGAGCCGCCGAGATCGATCCCGCACGCTCATCACCGTCCCTGATCCGAACCAATCCGCGGTAAAACCACGAGATCAGCAATGCAGATCCGCCTTGGATAGGGACAACACCACGCCATGCCGTCGCGGGAAGCCCGAGCTTCACCCACTGCCACCTTCCAGGGCCGCCGCCCCCGGATCCAGCTGCCGCCGACAGGCCGAGCCGCCGGCCACCGCGACCAAGACCGCCATACCCGCGAGCCCATCGAACGGCTGGCGCCACCAGATCTTCCTCGGAGCCGCCGCTCCGCCTCCCCCGCCTAGCACCATGCCGTCGCCTTGCGTCGTCGCCTAACGCGCCGCTGCAACAGATCGGGAAGAGCGCCCCGGCACCATGGGTGACCCGCCTCACCTGATCTGGCGCGGTAGGGAAGAGAGCCTCCGCCACCGCCATCAGCCGCCTGGGGCTTTGCCGGGCGACCTCCTCTAGCGGTGGCGGAGGAGAGGGGGAGGATGGACGTGCCTGGCGGCAGCGGCTAGGGTTTTCACCCGAGCCGCCCTTGCGGGAGGGCGACGCGGGGACCTTACGCGTCATATCACAAAGCGCGTCCTTGGAGCTGTGAAAAACGATTTGTTATGCGTGTTTTGATAAGAAAATGATTTGATCATGAGCTGAGTTTATTTGTTATGCGTGCTCTTTTATGCTATATTGGGCAGGCCTACAAATTGATGAAGATCGCGTGATGCTACAAATTGTGGCGCTGGAAGTTCATGATGGTGACAGTGCTGGGCAGAGGGGTGACATACTAATGCTTGAAGCGGGAGAAGCAGCTAAAGATGATGTTACTGAAGCTAGAAATGATGTCGGTAATGAAGACACAGAGGAAGATGCTTGATCTATCCTTGATGCGTTTCTAAAAGAGCTTGGTCATTTTGGTATGCACCTGTGCATGTGGGCAGATGTTGGGGTTTTTATCTACCCCATGTCAAGTGTAATCTGTTGCTAGATGGTACTCGTTAAAGTAGTGATCTAAACACTCATATATTTCTTTATTCATATTTTTTTTATGAAGGAAGTACTAAGTTTTCTTTTTGGTTTTCTCTTTCCTGCTAGCGGTGCATGCAACAGTAGGCTGGCTCGGGTATTTGCCCTGCACAATAGTACCTGCTGGGAACCCAGCAGGTGAGCCGAACCCGGCTGGCTCTCTTATAGGTGTTTGAACTCTCCTGGTTCTGTTATTTGCACTTTTGCGCCAGGACACTTTTTTTTGTCCTTTTGTTCGATGTTCCGTTATCTAGTGGAACCCAGTTCAATATGGATCGAATAGGAAACAAAGACCATCAAACCGTTTACTTGCACATGTTTTTTTTGTTGTTCACCCGCACACATGCTAGGATGAAATACTTTACTTTGTGAGCGAGCACGCGTGAGTTCAGCTAGCTACGATCTCAGATCTGGATCTTGCCCGGCTGTATGGGTATCGCGTTGTGTTGGTATACATA